GCGGCTCCTCCAGAAGGGCTCAGCTCCATGAGTAAGTAAATAAGTAAGTAATAATAATAATAATAATAACAACGAATTTTCACTGTGATTGCGGCCCTACAATATAAGTGTAAGCTGTATATATTCATGATAGTATGTAAGCTTATATAACCCTATATTCTGTTTTCCCATTTTCAAGTTTCGAGCATTCAGACAATGTCTTAGACCAAAATCAAAGAGATATACCTAAGCGCTGAATAAAATTGTAAAGGTAACATAACAAACATCTCAGAGTGATTGTTTACGTCATGCGAATTTTAGAAAGTCTTAGAGTTGGAATACGATGTACTGCCTTTCTTCACTTCAAAAATTTCAGTGGAAACGTAGGCTTACTTACTGCAAAGAGCCCAACGCTGTACGATATGTCCTCTGCGGCGAACTGGAGCGAACTTTCAATCAGGTCACGAATGGTGCGAATTGTTTTCGTTGGTGTGCTGAGGAGTGAAGACACGAGACTGGCCGAGTAGCTGGTGTTCACCATAACAGATAGGATGCAGGCCGCTAGAAGAGCCGTTCGCCATGATATCCATTTCGAATCCATCGTCGTGCCTGGGATGTGATAATCGATGATGAATTTACGTCTTGAAGAAGGAATGCTTCATGACAGTGTCTAGTCTTTTTTTTTTATTGCTAGTGGGGTGGGACCAAGTCCCTTGTACTGCGGCCACTTCTGGCCTATTGTACCAGCCCAAGATGATAGGTGAGGGTGATTGTGGAGCAATTGGTGGAATGAAGATTGGCAAGGGAAACCGAAGTACTCGGAGAAAACCTGCTCCAGCGCCACTTTGTCCACCACAAATCCCACTTGACCAAACCCGGGATCGAACCCGGCCCGCCGCGGTGGGAAGCCAGCGACTAACCGCTTGACCTATGGCGCGGCCCGTATGTAGTCTTATTAAGTTTTAAACATAATCGGAAATCAGATTCAAACATGTGACTGAACTATGTTGGAAAGAATGTTGATGAACTTCGTTTGTTAAGAGCGAAGCAGTTATCCTTACATTAAATCCCAACTAAACGACGTCCATGGATCTCGAAGATTCGATTACATATCGTATGTTCACAGGAGTCGAGCGCTGTACCATGAAAACCAAAACAAACTCCGTGGCCTGTAATTCGCAAGCGAACTATACCGACCGAGCGACCGCCGCTTGTCGGCGAAGTTAGTGTCAACTTTTGAGGATACAGGGTGTCCCGTGGTCATCGCAACGGTTTCCATGGCCTTTAATCTCGGTTTTGTAGACCGTAGCTGCTATTTCCTTGAAGTAACTCCTCAGTTATCCTCACGAGGCTGAGTGGACCCCGTTCCAGACCCAACGTTTTCTCAGAAAATGTCGTAGCGCCGGATATCGAACCCGGGACCTCTGGATATGTAGCCAGGAGCTCTGACCCCTGGACTTCATAGGCGGTCACGCTGTACCATAACCTGAGCTAAATGAGTCCAGTCTAAATCATCACACACTATTTCTTTAATATTAACCTCCGATTTACGCCTAGGTCTCCTGGGTTTTCATCTTAACATTCTATACGAATATACTTGTATATCCATGCATGGTGCCTGTCCTCAACCATCTCATCGTCCTTGACCTGATCACCCGGTTTGGTGAACGAGCTGAAGGCATATGACCAAAGATAAATAAACCCGTAACCAGTTAATTTATAATGAACTTCGTCTTTACTTATATGTGTGTTTCGTTATAGAGACCATCAATGGGAAATTGCATTTTCTGAGTAAGTAAAGTAAAGCTATCTCTGTAACAGACTGTGAAGGCCCATAGGGTTGTGAGACGTTGAGGGTCCCACATTATACAGATAATCGGCTCAAAGATGGCGGTAAGGTTGTCAGCCTTACGCGCCGGCCGTGCTTTACTCCCCAGGAAAATTAATTCCTGGTACTCATTTCTGTTATAGGCTGAGTCGACCTCAGGGCCATAGTGCGGCCGGAAAGATTAGGTCAATTGAAAAAAAAAATCCAGTAACCTCATCGGGACATAAACCCGCGACCTTCCGGCTTGTAGCATAGTGCCTCAACCAACTACGCAGCATTTTCTGAGCAATAAAATAATACGTATATTTTAAGCAAATAATGTACTACATGTCAGTTGGGCTTCGGCCTCATCAGGGAACTCCCATGTTCTATCTCCGAGCAAATATGTCGATTGCTATAAATTATTACCAGCAGCTGGAAGTGACATCCTACATTCTGGCACCCAGCTGGTGGTGAGTGAATGTTGTACTGCTTCAGTTATCCTACGTGTGGGATTGTATGGCCACGAACCTTGTTCGCTTATTGTCCCCACGATAATCATGAGGGAGTCACTCCAGGACCGCACCGTCTCCTCATCGTGACTGGTGGCTGAGAAGTCCGATATGCTGGTCTCTATCCAAGACACGAAGCGGATGGTGAGGATCACGAGGACCCACATCCCGGCGCAGGATATCCACACATTCATTTCGAACGGTGTTAGGAGCACCGCGCCGTATGCCCCTGTCACGGGAGGGTGCCGGAACAAAACGAGGCTCCTAAACATGTCAACAATGAGATGTATTACTTGATATCCATTTGCTGCACCTGGAAAGTCGAGTCAGAATAACCCATCTAACGCTGTCATGATTACATGTTTCTTAACTTTGCTGAGAGTGTGATCTGGTTTATGTTGCATCGCAGCGCATCCAACCCCGTCATCTCTGAATGTTTCTAAATTTTGCTGTAGTCATGTTTGGCTTTCTGGGGCATTTTGGTTATTAGGTATCAGACCCCGCTTAGCCAAGTAAATGTAAAGTTGTCCCTATGCTTAACTAATTATTAACGTTACGCCATGAAGGCGTGTGTGGGAGTGAATGTATAGATCCACATTTTCTTGACCTCGACACTAGTTGGAGATAAGTGGTCAGCTTCGCTCCCCGGCCGGTTTACCCGCGGGGAATCAGCCCCGATTACTCATTGGATAGCCTGAGTGGCCACAGAGCCGGTTTGGACGACGTGGAAAAGATAAAATTCTTAACCATATCGGGACTCGAACTCCAGCCCCTTCGGTCGGCCAGCCCCGTAGCCAGTCCCTGTACCGACTGCGCTATCCCGGCTCTCCGCTTAGACAGAGTAACCTGTGTAACACTGTTTTGTTGCTTAACTTTTCTGTGGGCATGGCATGTACTTAATATTCATGGTAAAGTTACATTACTACGTTTATGAAGGCAGCCATTCGTCACAAAATACAATAACGCCAAAACTGTGACAAGCAGAAGTTTTGAGTCACGGTACGACTGCAGTTGCTCCCTCTCACACACGCGGGAAAATACGGGGGTTCGTACTGACAGTCATGAGCAACAATTTTTTGTAAAGTAACATGCTTTATTATTGACAAACCAAATACACCACCTCAATCTACAGATCTTTCTCTATTTTTCCACATAATCGCCACTTCTTTGCACACATTTCTCCCAGCGTTCTGGGAGTTTGAAAATTCCGTTCCAGCCATCCGAAAACACTGACGCACTGCTTTCTGAATTGCCTCCCTAGTCTCAAAACGTTGTCCACGCAGCTGATCCTTCACAAATCCGAAAAGATGGTAGTCGGAGGGTGCCAGATCAAGGCTATAGGAGGGGTGTGGAAGAACTTCCCACCGCATCTTTGCAATTGCTTCAAATGAGGCGAGCGGCGTGGGAGCGAGCATTGTCATATAGGATGATGATGTTTCGTCCCGGACGTTTATTGCGCAATGCACGACGGAGCTTGTGCAGCGTATGGACATAACGAGCAGCACTGATGGTTTGCCCAGGTTCCAGGAATTCGGCCAGAATAAACCCCTCTGCATTCCAGAAGACTGTGCCCATCACCTTCGCAGGTGATGGCACTGTCTTTGCCTACATTTTTGATGGAGAATGCAAATGGTGCCATTCCATACTCTGCCGTTTCGTTTCAGGCTCGAAATGGTGAAACCAGCTTTCGTCACCTGTCACAATACAGAGCAAAAAGTCATCGCCTTCGTGTCGATATCTCTGCAGCAGTTCTGAGGTGATGGCTTTTCGCTGACCTTTGTGGTCTTCGGTCAATAACCGCGGGACCCAACGAGCACAAACTTTCCTATATAGCCCAAGCTTTCAATCATCTCATGTACTGCACTGTGCCCTATTCCAAGTTTTCGGGCTCTTGTGTCCACAGTCACACGCCTGTCATCTTGAATGATCTCATCCACTCTTTCTTTATTGCGTTCAGTTGAGGCTGTTCGAGGACGACCGCTCCGAGGCTCATCTTCGATGCTGGTGTTCCCATCTTTAAAATGTTTCGCCCATCTTCGAACACTGCTCGCACCCATGCATACACTTCCATAAGCACGCTGAAGTCTCTGGTGAATTTCTGCGGCAGGGATTTCCTCTTTCACAAGAAATTCGATGACATCACGCTGGCGAAACGACATATCGTTGTCGGCCATTTTGTTAGGAGTGATACTGGTCACGTGATGCAATCTATTGACGTCACAAGACACTAAAGGTTAACACAACAGTTGGTTCCACCTACCACCATACTCTTTTTCGTCTGCTGTTCTCAGGTTGCATGCAAAAAAAAGTTGCTCATGACTTTCGGTAGTCTACATGTTCTTATATCGTTATTAAATGAGAGGAAGCATACTCGTAATAGCTATCTAACAGAACTGCGACTGTCGCCTTTTTGATACAGCTTCTGTGGACACAAGGAAAACTGTATTATAAAGTGGTGAAAACGGCGCGTAGTATTAGCGCTCTGTCGCGCGCGTAGCGGCTACTATTTGTACTAAATATGTTTAGAGTTATTCACCCCTCCTCTCTTTCTATATATTTTTTAATGCTTTGTAACAGTGAGATGGAAGCTATAAAATTAGATTATTGCGGGGTGTTATCATGTTGTATAAGCATGTTATGTATTACGTCACGAACGAACTAGTTTTCTTTTGTTTCAGCACTGATAGTATTTTGATGCGGATATGTGAAGTGTTGTTAGTATGTATGATGGAATGTGATCTAATGTATGACGACATGGAAGGTTCCTTTCCTTTCTAGACATGCAAATATCAGTATAAACCAGTTCAGCAAAATCGTGTCGAAAGCTCAAATCCGTCATTAACAGGATTTTTTTTTATTTCTAGTGGGGTGGGACTAAGTCCCTTGTACTGCGGCCACTTCTGGCCTATTGTACCAGCCCCAGATGATAGGTGAGGGTGACTGTGGATCAATAGGTGGAATGAAGATTGGCAGGGGAAACCGAAGTATTCTGAGAAAACCTGCCCAATTGCCAATTTGTCCACCACAAATCACACTTGACCAGACCCGGGATCGAACCCGGGCCGCCGCGGTGGGAAGCCAGCGACTAACCGCTTGAGCTGTGGCGCGGAAATTAACAGGATAATCCAAATGAACACCTGATAGGTCTGTATATGTAATGCAACAGTAATATACTATCATGTATAAGGGGTTTCCGTGACGAATAATAATGGGTTCTAGATTTGATGATTGGTTTTATTGACACTTTTTTACAGTTAAACTCAAGTATGACAGCTCACAATCACTGACGGTCTACCACTCGCTCAATTCCTTACTGGACCACAGTCGTCTTCCCTTCACTGTGACGAACGAAGAATTCCTGTTCACACCTTGAACTGCCTTGATCGACGTCTGTCTGACGAATCTCTCGAACTGAATCTGAGTCTGTGTGTCACGTTACGACCGACGGCCAGTCTGACAGTCTGCCAATCTGCCTCGGAATAATACCCTTCTGGGGCTTACGACCAGGTTCTTATTAGTCAGACAGTTGCGGGTTTGTTGACGTAGGTCGCTCTCTCTGACGAGAGGACGGGTCTGTCGTTTACAATTTCTGCTGGCTCTCTCCAGCGCAGTCACTCTCGGGTCCGAGTCCCATGAGACTCGTGAGCATATTTTACTGCCTTAGATTCGAGTCCTTCCTTTTCGCCGCCTCCTACGACTCGTAGGGCTACAGCGGAGGTATTCGACCCCGCCTCCACACGGGAGATCTCTCGAATTAAAGTTAAAGTTATGTTACGACCGACGGTTAGTCGGCCGGTCCATCTTGGCGTCAAGCACCCACTTGGGACTTAAGATCAGATTTTTGTTTCTGTCAGACATTTGCAGGTTTGTTGATATGGGGCGCCCTCTCTGACGAGAAGACTCGTCTGACTTTTACAATATACAATATATTTACATTTTACATCGCCTGAATCTCTCCAATTCAGAATTCACGAATCCGCTACCTTGTATAACCGCCACGCGGCCCTGATAGAAGACACATTGTCCAAGGATTTCACTACTGCTTTTCATGAATGCTTTGTCTCGGAAACGTGCATGAACCGTTGCCCAGCAAAATAGATAATTACTTGTCTGGCTCCACCATTCCTGCCTTTCGGCAGTGTTTACTGAGTGTTGTTCAGCAATCGACTGTTCCAGGTGGTTGTCCTGGAAACTTGTTTTAACAAGCCGTTGTCTAGCAATGGATTCCATCACAGTGCGGTACCTTTGCGATTGCTTGAGTTTACATCGCCAGAAATAGCAATTTTATCCATATATATATCATCTATTAGTGTAATGCCCTAGCGGCGCAGGGGGGCATGGAGGTATCCCTCCCGCTGCTGCTGCCGCTGTAATGCCGTGGTACAGGGGGGCGTGGAGTCAGCCCGCCTCTGTCACCACTGTAACTCCGCATGTAGGGCCCGTGGAGGGATCC